CGCCAATAGTAGCAAGTTTTCGCTGGTCCGCCCTGCTGTAGGCAGCAGATAAGGCGAACCATGATAATTTGCGCGACGGCCGATGTAGGATGAAGTTGGTGTTTGAAGAAAAGTCATGGTCGTATGTGGGCTGAGGTACTGCGGGGGAGCTCAGACCTAGACAGGAGAATGATTAGGGTCCTCATCCAAAGCCTTTGGCTTAAAAGTCTGTCCGCAGGCTGCGAGGAGGTGGCAATGATTTAGTTTTGTAGAAATGAATGCCATCCCATTTCAAACCCCAAACCTGGAGAACCAAGAGACTGAGTTTGTCTGACCTCTCACCATTGATCAACTTGCTAGGAGTAGCTCAAAGGGCCCGGAGACACCACTCAGTATAGCTCAATGGGTCAATGAGGTACGCAAACCGTCACACCACGTTAAGGTCCAGTCTCGTTGAGACGGACAGTGTGACAGTAACCAAGACGGAATAGGTGCTATTCTCTTACAGAATGGAAAACCATTGGATTTCCGCAGTTGAGCACTTACCGTGACCGAGCAGCGCTATGCGCAGATTGAGAAGGAGATGCTTGCGGTAGCGTATGCCATGGAGCCTTTCAACCATTATACTTTTGGAAGAAAGACAACATTGTATACCGACCACAAACTGCTTGTGTCAATAGCCGGGAAAGCGCTGTATGTCGTTCCTCGTCGCCTTCAGCGTATGCCTAACTGACTTCAAAAGTACGACATGGATATTGTGTACACGCCCAGTGCACAGATGTTCATCGCGGATACGATGTCAAAAGCTCATCTGCCGGCACCCAATCATAATGTGGAAGAGGTCGAAGCAACAAACGTAGTACAGCACCTTGCAGTGGCAGAAGATTATCTAAAGGAAATAAAACGCCACACAGCGGAAGATGCGATTTCAGCTTTAGGAGACGTTATTCCAGATGGGTGGCTAGAGACAAAGAAGCAGCTGCAAAAGGAATTAACATCCTACTTCAATTTTCGGGATGTACTCTTTGTCTATAATGGTTTGCTGTGCAAGGGAAGTCGTATTCTGATTCCGTCAACGCACCAAGGAGAAATGCTTAAATACTTTCATCGCGTTCACCTTAGGGCTGACTATACCATTAACCGAGCAAGAGAATTGATCATTTAGCGAGTAATAAAGGGGCCGAATAAAAGATCATGTATCGAACTGTGATGCATGCTGTTCACACGAAATCCGGCAGACGAGGGAACCAATAATGCTGCATGATGTCCCTGACCGATCGTGGCAGAAGGTGGCGGTGGATTCATTCAGTGATAACGGGAAAGATTACTTATGCACGGTGGAATCCTATGGTGATTATTTTGAAAGCGAGCTACTCAGCACCATGACCACAGAGGAAGTAATAAACGAGCTCAACTGTCAGTTCGCGCGGCACATCATACCGGAGGAGCTGGTCTCTGACAATGGGCCCCAATTACCAGCAATGCCTTCCAGGCGTTCGCAACCAAGTGAGAATTTGTGCACCAGCAAACCAGCCCATATCAGAGTAATGGAATGGGAAAGCGGAGTCGGCAGTGAAGCAGGCTAAGCCACTGTTATCAAAAGCTAGAGCAACTGGTGAGGACCCGTACCTCATGCTACTGGAGAATCGCAACACCCTTCAACAAATATCGGCTTGAGCCAAGTGCAGCGCCTATACAGCCGAGGGACTAGAGCTCTGATACCGGCAGTTGCCACACTTTTGCGCCGTTTCGCCACAGCCCGAACGATTACAGAACAATCCGAGACGATGAATGACCACACAGAAACGGTACTATGACAGCGTTGCACGGGTACTACCTGAGCTAACAATGGGGGAAGAAGTGTGGGTTCAACTATTACCCGATAGTCAAGAGCGGTGGAAGAAAGGTGTGGTGACTGCGAGGGTCGGTGCCAGGTCATACGAGAGAAAGATCGGAGGGAAAAGGTTCAGAAGAAATCTAGTGCATTTGAGACAACACCGGAGACAACAATGTGGATTGGGAGTGGTGGCAGATGGTGTGGTGCAAGGAGACCAGGGCCGCAAGTACAGGGAAGACGACGCGGAGTGGCAAGTTGTACGGGCTGGATAGCAATATGGAGGCGCAAGAGCACCAGAAAGGGAGGATATGATGGTAGCATGAGACCTGTAGCGCTTGTACATATCTTTCTTCCCAATTGTACTTTCCTATTCTCATTTTCATTATTATTGTACGGTTTTGTTTTAACTGACCAACAACCGATAAAACACTTCTTCGGGTTTCGATTCGCCTTCTGGTTGTCGCTACGCGTGTTGTGCTGTTTGTCGTCGTCTGTCTGCTGGCCACGTCCATCGATCATCGGATCTAACGCGTCGATTTATTGTGCCGACTAAGTTCCGTCTTCCGACCTGATTGTGCGACTAACTGACAGCCTAGCGAAGATCGTGCCTTACCTAAGGTCAGCTACAGCATTCTTATTTATAGTCTGAGTTCTTATATGTAGTTAAGCCCTTTCCGTTTGGCCTTTCCACTACAGATCAGAGTGACCAGATGGACCAACCGAGCGACCCAGACAGTAAACAGAATGCGCGCGTGACGGATTCGATTACTGGAGTCGGAGTGGCCAATATTCTTGTTCCATCACTTGTTTAACTGAAGCGAAGGAGGAATCTCATAGGTGGTTAGTTATGGACTTAAACCTGGAATTTACATCGAGGAGTCTGGCTTGCTAAACATGTTGTAATTTTCGCTGAGCTGTCTTTGCCGAATAAATGCTTGTCCCTGAGGGACTGAGTTCTGCAACACATGACAGACCATTTTTTCGCCTACGACATTAAGATTGTTTAACAATTTCGAAGAGGCGATTCCTAGAGCACAATATTGATAGTTCAAGAAGACATCGATTCACTTGAGAAATAGTGTGACATGGCTGATAAAGTTCGCAGCTAATAAATCATGAATGATGTCACACTGACTGACTGATGACTGAATAGTCAGTTGAATTGAATAACGAACGCAACTGTGTGAGACTAACTTTGATCTAGTTATACCATATTTTACAAACTTCAATTTCTCGGATCAGGCTGAATATCAAAAAGTTTGCGCCAAACGATCTCTGGCTAATATACGCCATAAAATTCCTGCAGATATCTAACTTTTCGAAATTCCCACACTTAGTTGAATATCGCAGCAGTATTTATGAGAACATACGAATAGATGACAGAAAAGCTCTAAAAAACTTACAAAAATCATCCATTAAACGGTTTTTGTACGACGGTTCTGAGTGTATAGAGCATTTTCTTGAGTTGATTTTTTTAGTAAGTCGTTCAGTTGGAGCTATCAGGAGTGTTGTAAGTAGCTTAACGTCGGGTCTTTTTGTTTGCGACGAGTGAAATAAAACCGCATACACATGCTCAATCTCATAAACAAAAAGACGCTCTAATATGTGCGCACTAGAAGTACAACATAAATGCACCCAGAGAGTTCGCAACAAGATTGTAAACAAATGGTACCAAGAGAACTATTCTATCCAACTTTCGTCAGATACGCTGTCGGGTGGAATAGCCTACCAAGAACATTTCGCATTCCACTTGGGAATTTTCTGAACCAGAACTCGATAATGAGCGTGTTTTCATTGGACAAATCACTAAACGAGTTCCTCCAAGATGGACCAAGGAATACATAGCCAGTGATAAAAGGTTACACAAAACTCAGTACCAACAAAACCGATGCATTGTAAAATGTTTCGATGACACACGTTCCAGAATACGTATCTCAGTCATGCATGAGTGTGATCATAAGTATACTGATGATCTGTCCCTAATTTTAGGGACAGCCTCTCGCACAATCGAGAAATACATGTATATGCACCATAAAAATCATGCAACTCATCGGTTTTATCAGGCTTGGATTAAGAAGCACAAAGTTTCAACTGGAAGAAAATAGAGATCCTGGCAAAAGGAGAAAAAGGAAGAAGTTCTCTAAGCCTGGTAATCGCCAAAGGATTCAACCAACACCAACATCGATACAGTATACCAACCACTGAGGCAGATGGAGCTCAGCAGGTACGTAGGCAAAAGATTTCAGATCAACAAGAAGTTACTGTAGACATATCAACAACCTCGTAAATTGAAGCATGGTATCCCCCACTTGTCAGCACCCACGACAGGACATAAAGTACAAACGGAGCGGCCTGTCAGTGTTAGAAGGTGTCATACGTTTTACCGATCATCTTCACCTGAAAGCCGCGGGAGTTGTGACTACTAATACATCGGAGTCCCTGTTGCGGTTGCTTGCATGCGTAACAAGTCCGGATAAGGTAGAACCGGAGGGTAGTAGTAACCCAAGTGTAATTGGACGCAGCCGTAACTCTCCTCCCTGTTTCCTCGGTCATGGAAAAGGTCATATCCAAGACTTTAGTCTACGAAGAAAAGTTACACACGACCAATGACAACATACACTACAACAAGGACGTCACGGCCATTTTAGGCAGTGGTGGGCAGTGGTTTACAAATGGCTGGCTAGCCGAACAAGCTCCTCATGGTGTCAGCTGGGTGGTTCGGGTTAATCCCGTTCGAGCAAATGGTTCGGCGGCAGTGTTCCAAGACGTGGTGGGGTTTCGCCTGGCAAGCCTTCTCCCTACAACAAGCCACATATGTCCTTTTAACAGCACTGTGAGGTGGCGGATGTGACACGCCACCAACTAAAGTCACTGCATCTTCACTTTCCAGAGGATCATTCCCACATCACGAGCGTCATCCAATGCGAAGTGTTCCTTTGATCCTTTCCTTTGATTGCGAATCCAATGAACAAAATAACAAAATCCGATGTCACATTTACAAACTCACTATGACTACTTACACATACACACTTACACCTAATTCCCCATGTCAACAGACACACATAGATTACTATGCTACTGGTTGAATCGTAAAAATTTGTGCAATTGCCCATCACACGTGCATGTGATACCATGATCATGCCTTTGATGGTGTGCTTCGTATTGACAATAATAAAATATTTACCTATTTATCTAAATGTTTTCGGACCCACAACTGGAGTATATGGTACCGTTTATTGAGTTGTAACCGCAAAACGCTCACCACAAACACATAGGAACCTGTCGTTTGCTTACGTGGGTCCACCACATGCAGATCATCCATAGGGTTGTAGGCTACACGGCTTTCAACCCTCAACGGTAGAGGGCTCATAAGGGGCACACAAATGTGGAGGAATGATGGCAACAGATTGGCAGGCACACCCTGTAGTTGACGAGGGTGACGGAATTCCGGTATAGAAAAGCGACGGTGTGGAGCAGGGTTGGCTGCGGAATCCCATGGAGTATTTTCATTGATTTCATCTAATCCCCCAAGCGGTTGAGAAGTAGTGGCTTTTGGCATGTGTGAGGAAAACGATTCGGTTGGCTGAGACATACAGCGACTGAAGGAGGGTAAGATCTTTCGACCAGCCGAATCGCCGAGGCAACTGTGACAGATGTTTTGCAAATTGAATTCTGGAAACTCAGGCCGAGACATAGGTTTGGGCATATTTAGTGCTGAAAAAGTAGTAGATGGGAATAAAATGATAGCTTATTTTTGAAACAAAGTATGTTCAACCAGCGAATATGCAAGATGCTGTTCATGCAATAAGGACAGATCACTGGGTGCAGTCGTGATTACGCTCCTTCATTAGTGTGATAAAGATTTCGTAGTGTCTGTGTTGCTACAATAATTTGAGATACACGGTTTTTTGGTGTTTAGATTGGGAAGGGGTTTACTCACTCACTCGCTATGTATTTTAGTCCATCCTAATCTAGTTAATAGAAACACGGAAAGTGCCAAGCTTCGGTTACTTGTGCTTCAAATCTAATGCGGAATATCCCCAAATTTGCACAAGATCTAATGATGCTTGGTAGAATATCTCCCGCGGGACAGCGTATCTGGTGAAGAAGAAAATCGTACGAATAGCTACTACATGGTTCTGTGTACAACTAGTGCACAAATACTGTTGATAAATGTCCACGTGAAGTTACGTTTTAGTTCCAGTGTAGACATAACGGAGTGTGACTTATCATTTAAAATGACATGGCATACACCTATATGGAGAACCATAGACCAGAAGACACAATAGGAAACAGAAAGCGAACTATCTAACTGATGCGCCGACTTATCTAATCCTACCACACTTGTGCACTATGTCAGTTCATACAGGGGTGAAAGTTATTACTTACTCAGGTGAAGATTATGACACCAAAGAAGACCAGCAGTGGATGCCAAGTTGGTAAAGACATTACCGAACCAATATCGTGAAACGGTCGATTTTGCTTGCGCGTCAGCCAGAGAAGGTTGCTCAGGAACAGGTAGTTCCACATTGTGTGCAGCAAGACAGAGGCGTCCAAAACGATAGAAACGAGAGTCTGGTAGCATTACGTTTAATCGTTCCATGCTGCTAGTGTTTGGCGAATGAGACAGACGGCCATCCAACCAGGACTTCCAAGTGATCTAGCAGGGTAAATTAAACAAAATATACGATAGAGACCTAAACCCAAGGGTAGTAAACCTGCAATAAAGTAATTTTCGGATTTTAGAGCACCAACCGTGTGTCTTGGATTGCGACACGCAATTTCAGTTGTGGCCTCGGTTGAGGTTGAAGTCAGCCTTTGCCAATACAGTCACTGGGACCGTCACCGAAGTGGAGGACTTTGGTGTCGCTCTCTCCCATCTCTGCACTCCACGACCGACGGTTTCGTCTTGGTTTAGACGCATCAGGCAGATATGGCCTAAGTTGGGAGTTCTTTCGTTTGTTCAATGGTGCAGATAATTTCATTCCACTGCTTTTATCGAGGGCAATGACCCTATGGTTATGTGCTACAGGAAAGAGTAACGGGCGCTTCTGTCAAAAGAAGTGGACAACGAAACTGCAAATCTTTTCCACTTACGTGGGCTTAATACAGACCAATGCATGTACTATTAAATGAGGGGTCAAACCTCCTACTGTCCTTCCCCCAACGTTCGTCCAACCATGCCAACACAAGTTCAACCTAAGCGCCTCGCCTAAGAACATACATGGACTCTCTGAAAGAATGTCGCCATGAAGTCACTGCGTAAGCACTCACTAGAAACGATGCAATTCATGAAGTAGATACAGCGCGCAGAGATCAGCCAATGGTGGGCTACTGAAAACGGTAATTTGTTTGCCCAGCTTTTATGCGCGATTTGTGCTCTGAAACGGGTGGTAGTAATGAGCCCTCAGAAAGAAAGAGAGAACAGATCGGTAGGCATCATTGCTATTCATTTGGTCGGCCATGGGAATGAGGCAACGAACGGCTCTGCACGGCTCGCACGGCGGTTCATGTGTAGTTGGGATTTAGCAAAACAATACCGCTCAGTTCATGATATCATGGGGTATGGAAACAGTTTCTTAAAGAAACAAATGTTCAACATCCCGGTCTATGTTGACGATGATGGCAGTGTTTCACTAAGCTATCCTTTAAACAGACGAGAGTGGACAATGTAGGGTACTCGAAAGCTGAAACAATGCACTTAGAGTGGGTCGCAGTCGGACGAAGGATGTATTGGGATCATGCGTCAGAAGCAAATTAACGCATTCTGCTTCCTCGCTTTGTGCGACACATGGTAACGAAATATTGGTCCTCCACCCAATGCACGTGCATACTATTCGGCGCAAGACCAGCCACGTGATGCAGCTTAGTTCTGTGTCTTGATACCTCGTGGTCCGCTGGCATCTCAAGAGCTCGTGTTGGTCTCGAAAATCACAAAGTATAGACCGAAAACGGGTTAATCGAAGTAGGGGGAGTGATGCAATGGTCTGACGAATGGACGCCCGACTATCCACATTACCCAAGTCAACTGATTTCTTCCACCAGCTGGTACGTGGTGTATCATCGCGCAACAGGTAACGCTTTGCAAGTTGAATAAACAACTTCATTATCGAGCTGTATTTGCAGACCGTGTCACAGAATCAATATCAAGACGGTAACTCCTTGCAACCATCAACATCACGGATGCGACCCATAAGAAGGTGTAGTGGATTTTACTGGCTCATAAGCAACACAACCATCATAAAAATATTATACCCGAAGTGAGGAAGAGAACAAAGCGAAGTTCGAACCTGAGATATGAGCCACTCGAGTGCGTGTAAAAAGCGGATTTCACTGGTATTTCACTCAGAGTACTTTGGACAATTTCACTGAGAAGGACTCCGTAGAGTGAAAAGACTGACTGGTGACACCCGGAAGGTGACGTCATCACATAAATTCCGAAGGACTGATTAGCTTAGTAAGAGAAAGCGCCGAACATAACGAACATTCGAAACAAAGTTTATGGAAGTTCAACGGCCAATAGCAATAGGGATGTTGATGTTGAAACACATCAAAGCCAAAGTCAATAAATGACAGAAAGCATCGATTTGTGAAGTGATTAGATGTATTATCTACGGCCTAGTAAAACGAAGCCTCAGCAATATGATTCATTGTTGTGGGACTGCAGGTTTAATAGAACCAATTATATGGAAGCAACTGTATCAGCAATCGGATCATCTTTAGGGTTGAAAAAATTGAAAGGGTAGACTGTACACACTAAGCAGTATCGGTGCTTACCCATATGTGTGACTCAATTAAGTGAATTGTGGCCTCCGTGTTCATTGGGAGAGGTAAGCCAATCTCATCCGTAGATAACTCTTTTGAATTGACCAAATGTACATCTCCAGAACCAAATACCACATTGCTCAATTGTTCCATTGGCAAATTTATGTGGTGGTGATAAGTAAGATGGTCCGACGAAGTGGTTTCGCTTACGGCAATAGCATCCAAATCTCCCAAGCTATGAAACATCTCAGTGGTTGTATAAACGAATGGGCTAACAGGACCATCGAGTTCGGCTGAGACTGGGCTGAGTGCCTGAGTACTGATACGGGTACTCACTGGAATGTGGCTGTTCTGTTCGAAAAGCGAAGTCCACGGTGTAGAGATAGTAAATGCAGGTTGGTCCAATTGTGCTCCCGGGGTAGTCCATTTACTTGAAACTTCCAGACGTACGCGATATTGTCGACCGGGGGATCGCAGGTGCTTTGAACAAACGTAAGTGAACATACACAATAAATCGAGTGGTTCTTATCGGGCCAACTATGGATTGTCCTCACAAAGGCAAAGCTACTATCATTGCGACAGATAATTAAGACAGTCTAATAGATAAAAAATGAAGTTGGATGCTTTCGATAGGTTTTGCTGTAAATCTGATGGTTGGCCACAACTACTGAGCTATTAAAGGAGGATGGTTGAGCCGTATCTGGAATCAGGTGACGGATGTAGTTGGACAGATAAGTCAATTTACATTGATTGATAGAAAAATATATAGGAAGTACGTGTGAAGCGACGTGCATCTAGAATTATGGCACTCGAAGATTCACTTTGCGTCTCTGAAACACAATTTATGAAAGGTAGCCACATGCGAATAAGAAAGCATCATTCGGTAGAGTCAATGGCTAGTGTTTTCTGGCGTACACAAGTATCTGCACAGACTTTGTTCCTCGTTATTTTTCGTTCGCTGCATGAGCAAACCTTCGATTCAGGAATATCAAGCAGACTAAGCTAGTGAACAGTATGAAATTCGCAGGTAGCAGGAGTAGGTGCAGTACGAAATCGACTAGCCTATTCTTCCTTCATAGGACGTACGCGTAAATACAATTACGCGACTTCGTGGATCCCCTCTACCTCATGAATAAGTTTCCCTCATACCACAAGAAAGTGGAAAATAGCGAAAAATGAATGAAGATTTAATTGAGAGAATTCAACTGTGATTTGGCATTTTGTGATAAACGATAACCTAGCAATCATGGAACCAAGATTAATGACCAGGAGTGCACAAGTAGGCAGGGATTTTGAACCAAAAACCGCACCAATCTATCCCTTTTCCGGAAAAATGGCAGTTAACGAAAGGGATAAATCAGATACCCTGGCTATTTGTATCGCGATAATGTGCACTCATTCCATTTTTTGCAGTGTGGGTGTGCCGTAGCTAATGAAGTGTAGCAGAGGCATAGCAAGTGGCAGTTGAAAGCTATTGCACATGGCAGGCGTCCAGTGCTTATTGAAACTCATCCCATTTCACCTGTACCGGTGACCTGTAAATGCAGTGGAACTGACAGGTGTGTGATCACGTACGGTATGTGATCATATCCAGAGAATCGGACACACACACCAAATGCATAGGATGACTTGCGTGCTGAACGGGATACATTGAACGGCATTTCACTTACTCGAGGCACTAGGCTAGCAGGAAGGCGCGCTCGTAGCGTGCAAGAAAACAGCGCCTTGGACTCAGGATCCACATTTGCAGCGATGCCCATCGAATTAGGCACCTTGCTATCCGAACTTTGCCTTTCAAGCTCGTCACGAAAAGTAAGCTGAGGGTAATAGAGCAAAAGAGGCGAGTGTTTGGACGATAATAAGCTCAAATGAATTCCAATGCCCACTCGACGAGCTAAAGTTGGCTGTTCAGGAAATAACTGCGGTCCGTTCGTATGGATAGTTGAGTGGTTTTCTTTACAGGGCGCATCCAAAGCATATTCAATATGAATTTCTAGCATGACAGCTTGGGAGTTACGAAAACCGATGTCCTTCATGTCCTGATCTTTCCTGCGCAAAGGTTGGGTGAACCACCGGTATAAATTCCTCCAGAACGCCTCCGAGTGGAACGACAGCCAGATGAGACCACACTCTGTTGCGTGAGTGGGCGAAACAGAATCGTCCTCGAGGTAAACTCCATCACTAATACATACAACAGGTGTCATAGCAATTTGCTTGTTGCATACAGGAAAAGGCATCTGTGACAAATGAGAAGGGAGATAAGCAACATGCCAGAGACAAATTGAGATGAGAAAATCGTGCAAACCACTCTAAAGTCCGACACATGTGTACGACTAAAATTTACAATCAGACTAGAAAGATAAACCCTTTGTCGAATGGAGCGGACCGGTTCTGAGCAAAACACTTACAGTTTGTACCATACTGATCTTATCAGGTTTCTACACCTTCGGTTCTAGCCTGATCATGTCAATCAGTGAAGCGATAACGGAACCGGGCAGCAAACGCATGACGGCTTAATAAAAATTCACATTCAGCATGTTCCGTTTGTTACACACGATATCGAATCCATCCAGTATTGTGGGTGCTAAAAAACGAAAACGACCATTAATCTACCCCAGTTATTTAAAATTACTTTCGTACTTGCCAATTATGGACAACAAACAGCACTGGTAGTTATGGTTCTCACGATCTCAGTAACACAAGAAGCTAGTTGGCAATGCAAGTGAAGTGAACCCGCTCAGCTAGGCTACACATCCAACCAAGTTGTGGTAAGGGAGTCTTAGTGGTACAAAAGTACAGATGAGGTCAGAACTACCCAAGCGCACTGTTTGCAGTAGCTAGTCGTTGCGGTGTGTAATGGATCGACACGGTGTCGAATACATAATCTTAAGTCAGGCAAAACCTATTACGGCTGCTGAATACCGACTCGGACGCAGTGCACAAAGGTTCCTCTAGTACAGAAAGGCGTGCGCCAGTGTATGCCGAACTGTGCACTGTTGTAGTATTTGCTACATAAAAGACCGGAATTCAAACTGCAATATATTACACGCCCAGACAAGATTGCCAGCCTCCGGAGGGAATAATTCGTAAAGATTGTAGTCACTTTTAACAAGCACAGTCGAAATGTATGGAGCAAACCATCAAGCAGCATTTCTGAACGTGCCCATCAAGTTACACAGATATTTCCCGAGAAAGTTTTGTGATAAGATAGGAGTAAAGGTTGAAGAAATGCGAGTGCTCACGGCATGCAGCTTACAAAGGTTGTGAAGTTGTAGTACCCACCTTACGCTGAATGGAATCCCAGTTGTGACATTTGACAAGATCGTTGGGAATGAGATTGAGCTTTCTCAGCAGCTGGGCTGATTCATCCGTGGATTTCACGCTTATATGTAGTACGTTTAGTTGACGAGAAGCGGTGGGTGGGATAACGTGGGACTGTGGTGAGGTAGTGGCCTGTTGAGCTTCATCGCGCACGAATATTCTTAGTGGAAGCCACCTGGATTCGTACGGGTAGACGCTCACGTGGAACTGGAAACAATGAAGGAGACGGTGAGTAGAGCTGATGACAAGCAGCTGGTATGCCAAACAGTGAAAGGTGAAATGTGCTTGCATAGATACCTGCTAGTGTCAATGTTGGACTGAGCTCTTGTCTACGCTGAGTTAGCCCAACAAAAGAGCGGATTAAATTTCAAGCTCTAGATGACTTAAATCATTGTCATCTAAGTGTTGGTGGTTAATATGTGACAAGCTGAACTTGCAAAACTCGGCTAGAAATACTATGATGCACATGGCAACACTTGTAAGTTCGAAATGTATCATAATTTGCCCCGTATATTAACGAATGCAAATGTAAGACACTGGTCCATTTTCCCTGGAGCCAAACGTCTCGCGTACAACATGTGAATTAAATCAAGCTTGGTTTAACAGCCATATTGCTTACTGAGTAATTCGTTATTATGTTCATATTTAGATTAATGTATCAAGCGAATGGGACCATATGATAAAAGCCACAACCATTTCATCACACTCCGGATTCCTGGCCAGCGTAGACACCGGAAACCGTATTGAAAACAGGGAAACAGCTTGAAATGGGCAAATATCTTGCCGGTGACACATAGAAGGCGTGCTGAAATCGCTGACATTAGTGCCGAAGCGATTAGGAGCGTCAGGTGGTCGATGAAACTATAGGCGTAACGAACATACATACAGGTAATTCTCATACAAGTAATTGCAAATTCAAAGTGGGATTGACGGCCACGGTCCAAGCATACAGTTGCTACTCCAAGGCCAGTCTGCGATCGTTCATGCATCCAACTTGACAAAACAGTGCTCCGCTCACGCTGCTCGAGCCAATGGGTGACTTACCAACACGGCTGATTAGGTAATCAGCAGCGGCATTATGTCATCAGGCTCCCCCTGTTCGTAGTGACTGCGCTCAAGATTCAAGAGTAAAAGCATTTTATGTGCCCATGAATCCCCGCCATAAATTGCACCTGACTGCAGGAAAAAAGATCTGACAGTGATCAGATTATAAACTTTGTGAATCGCTTAGCTAGAAATTAATGTTGGCAACTCATTGGTTAGATGAACTGTCAGATGATCTGTTATATGAGCTTGGTAATTATTTTCGTCGCCAGTCATCCGCTGCTCACCCAAGGAATACACTCAAAGAATTAGCTAGTCACGAGACTGCGAACGACATCACCCGGCCAGAGTAAGCGGCTTATGAAGATTTCGCAGTACTACAAAATACTTAATTGCCCAAGGACTTCACTAAAGGAGGATAAAACATTACATGGGAAAAACACTTAGGGGCGTAAAACGCTACAACAGCAGCATCGGGACTACTTCGCGTAGGGGGTTATGTGAGCTCGGCGTCGCCAAACATAGGTATAGAAGGGTTTGTTCATGTCGTTCTTTAGGTGATTCTAGCACCACGCTTGATTATGGGCGTCATTCAGGTTACAAAAGCCGAACGGAAATAGCAAGCACTATTCTTGGTAGTAAAAAGATTACTTTCGTCATAGTTTTCCCAGTTCATAACACAAGAAAACTGGTATTATTTCCTTTTCTTACTAAACACGCCGCATGTGAAGTAATCATACGAAAACAACCTGAAATCAGTTGGAGTTACAGTGGTCTGTACGACAAAACCGTGGAATGGAAGCTAGACACACTTACCAACGTGGCAACGTGCTGAGACCAGTGTTCAGAAACAGGGATGTGAAATTTCGGAGCAGAAATGTCAAGTGGGGAGGTAGTCAGCTTAGCTGTGTTATCCGTGTTCACCAAGGGCACAGTCAATTGAGGCAGAAAGTTGGCAGCCTCCGTGAGAGTGGGAGCACTTCGCGCAATACCAGGAAAGATGCAAAGCCGCGGCATCGCTGGTCTGAGACGAATGGCTGGCAAATCAAAAAACAGGTTCCGAATCAAAGATACTATGGGATGTTGCGGTAGAGAATCGGATGGGAGGATTGAATTCAGTGCCGAGTCGGTCTCGCAAGTAGCAGAGGACCTCAGGCCCGAGCTGATGGACAGAGCAGAGGATGAGGAGTGGCTTAAATGTCGTTCATGTACAGGCGTCTGGGGTATCTCGTGTGGCAGGTTCACCACCGGATCCAAATACAAAAGGTCGCTGGGGACACGCAAACAGGCGTGCATGGCACCAAAATCCACGAGACGATAAGAGATTCCGCTAACACGGTACTACTTTGAATAAAGAAAATAAGGGAAAATGAGTCGGAAATGAGCGAGACATTGTAAGTAGGTGAGAAAACATAGAGTAGGGTAATGGTGGATGCCAAACGCATAGCGGTACCTTATTACTGTAAATGAGATGTATGGTTCAGGTCAGATGGACATCCACGATTCTGGCGCGGAAATGCGGCGAACCCAGTTGCCACGACCCATGTCGCCAGAATAACAATAAACAAAAACGGCAAGGGTGAATGCAAACAGAAGTAGTGAAAACGAAATCAAGAAGGAAGTGAGTTAAATTAGTCGAGATGAAAGGAAAATTAACGGTTGATACAAGGAACCGAAGATACGACAATGTGTGGTCGCACTAGTTCAATGGTTTTTTAGTAAGTTATTTCTCACCACTGTTGCGCAACATTGGAATCTTATTCATTCGATTCGGACTTATCAGCTCTACAAGGCGCGCACTTATCTACCGGATTAGTTTCACCGCTTCAAAGTCTGATTCACGTCTGCGTTGCTTTGACGGATTTGGTTGAGAAAGCGTACGAATGCAAGTCCTCCCGTTTTCACGCACTGCATGAATATTCTACACTCGTTCGAAGGAAATTTCGTGAGGCGATCAAGCAAACCTAAAATCGTTCTTCTCAAATACCGTATGCAGTAGCTGCCAAAAATTTCGTTGTGCGTTACCGCTCACCTAGCATTCAAATGTAATTGACCGATAACCCAAAGCCACTCCTAGTGGCCTTGTCAACCAACGTGCCGGGGTAGCCCATCACACGAACGAAGCAGTCGCATCGCCCGCTAGTTTGCCCTTACTTGGGCTTTCTAACCACATCGGTCGTCTGAGTGGGGAAAGCACACAATATCAACCAGCTCACTGAGGCACTTAAGGATACAATGCTGAGCAGCAGAAAGTAATGCACGCGAAACCAAAAGACCCCAAGACGAAGACCGCCTGTGGTTTGGAAGAATGTAATACATAAGCTAATAAGAGTCGGCCTGCTCGCACTGTACCAAATGGTATCATCTCAAGAGAGCTAATTTAACCCAACGAAAGTTGTGAGGACGGAGCAGCTCCCCAGACGTCCTTTGGTTTTGTCCAGCTCGTTCGACCATCCCGTTCGGCAAGTGCACGACTGTCTTAGTCCAGAACTGCGAGCGGTTAGCAGCAAAAGCCGAACAGCAGGTATACGCTAAGAGCACCTCATTGGAAGCGAGTATGTGCCAGGAAACCGGTTGCCTACAAGCAAAGCAAGGGTGAAAAAAAGATTCCATCAAACCACGATGGTCAAGGCCCACAGCACCGATATATCCTCCAACTATAGCAGAACGTGAGGCGAAAATAGACCGGGTCTTGATAAGCAACAAAAGTCAGGTACCGTGTGAAATGCCTGACCGAACACGTTCAAACGGTCTTAGAAACTTTCCTAATTATCCAGGATTGGGCAACCAAACACCAGCCTTCTGTATCTGCAAATCAAATGTATCTGATCGAGTTCAAGTCCCCAAGGGACATCAGTCACGGATGCAGGGACCGCTGATAAGTCACCCGGGACGCCACACTTACGGCCTCTTCTGTTAAAAGCTCTGCTAACGAGAACAGAAAGACAAACCGTAGACCATCATTATTTGGGGGAAAGCCAGGACCAATAACCATCCGAACTTGCTTCTCAGCGAAAATGGGATCCAACGGCAGGTTCTGGCTGTTGTGCGCACAAATGCCCTCGAATCTACCGCCATGCAATTGCAGGGTAGGTTGTCTGGTGAACAAGACCAATGAAACTCATTGTACATTTTGACGAACGTCAGAGTCAAACACAAAAACCTAATACAGATTACACGTCATCCGAACTCTGCAACTTATGGAGAACCCGAACCAATTCTAGTAACGCTCCAGTTCTTTAACGATGTAGAAAACAGTTTGCGCTCATCCAGCGTTTTACATCGCGGATCGTGTGAGACATCAGACTATGCTGATATCCCTTTGAGAGTGCGACAACAAATAAGAACGATGACAGTCGGCGGTCTCGGGTGCATGTTTTTATTCTTTCCTTATGTATGGGGGCACAATAACTGAGGTGTTTTCCACCGCTAGCCAACGTGTATAATGATGATGAGGCGGTTGATGTTCGGAAAACACTTGAATGACGCACCAGAATGCTTCTGGGCAAATCCAACCGACAGACCTCAGCAGTGCTCACCCAGTGTACACACCAGCTGTGAGCAATACTCCGAAAGCATAAGTGATCAAGCAAGCATTTAACGTCTTCACTACGAACTGCCCATGCAGATGGATGGCTACTTACATTTTCTAATCTTCACTTTCACTGATAGATAAGTGAAGAAATTCAAAGAAAATGCGGTGAGGAATGTATGAATTTTCACTTTGATCCCCATTTATCACGCATGTTGGGTCGATGCAGGAAACGTTGGTAAACAGTAGTCTCAGTAAAAGAACAGGTCAACACAAACACAGACCGAGAATCTCCAACACAGCAATACCGCATAAATTTGAAAAAAAGCTTGTTTTTTTCTGTTCGTGCCAGACAGCGTTATCGGGGCACAGAGAGTATGACGCATGCTAGTATCCTTAAATGACAAAACGCACCACAGAGCCAACAGATTTAATCCAATCAATCACAAAGTTTTTAGCTGCCTTTAGTAAATGGCCGAGGTTGACCTTCGCGATAGTTTATTACAACACTAACACAAGGTGGGATCATGGGCCCTAAATGGCCAATATCAGTTGCCAACATCATCTACAGATGCGATGTACGGGGACACAGAGTCGTGAAACATCGAAACGCTTGATCTTTTAGCAGAAGTTTTTCAGCTTTCTGCTACAAAAGAGCTAAAGAAACTCCTAATCCTGGCCTTCAATTTGGTATATGTTTCAGCTTGCATACTTCAATTTTCATGCAGTATGACGTAACGCAGAAGTAATAAATTATACACCAATCCACTTCCGCTTCAAATGTGACCTAACTGTGCAAATGAACGTGATGCATTTTGTGATGTGCGGATGCTATCCACTAGTTCTTTAATGGAGAGATATCAATTCGTTTGTGAAACGCACTTATAAGGTTTACTTTAACGCACGCCTTGGTAACCAAGACAAAAAATGGGCACCTTACATTGTGTGCCACTGTTGTGAGGAAAATGATTCGTGACTGGACGGAAGGCAAACGCTATTTGCAGTTTCTATGGTTTGGCGAGAATCTACGTCGCTGATACAAAGATAGTGGCAAGGAAAATTGACATGAGATCTCGGATCCCGGTATTTCGTTTGCAATTTGACCCATACCATACTCCGAGGAGCTTCTGAAATTTAACGAGTTTGTTTCCCCGGATGATGAAGTCAGTGAGCACGAAGATAAGGCCAACTCACATGATTTGGTTTCAATTTACGAAAACTGTAACTGAGACCACAGTAATTCCCTCAACAAGAAATGAATGGCATACTGGGTGATTTGGGGCTCTCCAAGAGCGCTAGCGAATTATTAATCTCCAGGTCAAGTGGAAAAATCTGCTAAACTGCACAGCGAAAGTTTCTTTCCTTCCGAAAAGGAGAATTCACTGGCATTTTGCAGCAATTAAGCAACCCGTATTTTTGCCATGATATTCCAAGTCTCTTATTGAACTTGGAGATCACACCGTGTGATTCATCAGAGTGGACAGTATCCCTGGATAGTTCAAAGTGCAGTCTCAAATGAGTTCTATTGCATAATGGTAAAAGATTTGGAGAAATTCCAGTAGATTAGTAAGTCAATTTAAGAGAAGAACACAGTGACCTAAACATAGTTATTGACCTTAACAAATTTCATGAACACAACTGGATAATATGTGATGAAAATGATGAGCTCGCTTCTTGATCAGCAGACAGGCTATAGATAAAGCCTACGTCATATCTACATGTGGGAGAGTCGAGCATTGGACATGGAATGAGGGGCTAAGATGTGGAACTCTGGAGACTGGCAGATCAAATAATAAGAATGATCCCGTTGTCAGCAGACAGACCAGATTTCCTTCCCTGCATTTAAAACTTAACATTACGAGACAGTTTAAGACAGCTTTGAACACTGATGGTGAATATTTTCAGTAGGTACTTTCACCTTTCCCTCTGTGTGGGAAATTGAAGACAATGTTGTTGACAGCTCTACAATTTTGATCTGGTGCCTGATTAAAAATTTACCTTTAAAAAAGCCAGTGGAATGAATGCGCGGCCGTTACTTGTAGCAATTATATGAAATGTTTTTAGGAACAAAAAGGACATAATTATGAGGATAAGGTTCATAGAACGTTGTTTGTAATTCACTATCTTGGGGACAGCATTTCTCGCATATTTTGAAAAGCCATCTTTCAATTACTCATAAATCTTGGGAGAGCAAGTGATGAACAATGGGAACGTTTACATGAAAATGACGATGACGAGGGAAAAAAAGTGATCAGGGAAGATGGGGTCAACACATGATTGCACAGAGCAACAAAATTTTGTCAACTTTTAGATGTTAAAGGTCTTTAAAGTGACGCTACATGAAGTTTTAATGTTGAGTTCAAATATGAAACTCGATTTTCTTTGCATGTTCCAGTTTTCATGCAATTCGATGTGTTACATAAATAGAATATTACTTACCAATGCACTTTTGTTTCAAATATAATTATGGATCATTAAGGTCGACATATGAATGTGCAGCTGAACCTGATGCATTTTTCTATATATGCGGATGTTATAGAGTCGTTTGTCAAAGGAGAAGCATGTCTATAAAGCATACTTTGAAATACCCCATGGGCAACAAAGACCAACAATAGGCACCTCACACATTGTGTGCCATTATTATGAGGAAATGCATCGTCGCTGGACAAAACGGCAACGCAACAGACTGCCATTTGGAGTTCTCATGGTCTAGCGAGAACTACGAACCACATACCAGACTGCAATTGTTGCATGGTTAATACGAGAGGTCTTGGAAAAAAAGTCGGCATTAGATCTTGTATCCCAGTATTTCCTCTGCAATTCAACAATTCCACACTCTGATGAGTCTATGGTCCAAAAATTTGGAGGTTTTGCTTACTCAGATGCGAAAGTCAGTCGGCGTGAAGATGGGAGACGATGAGACATACACATGGTGGCGGACAATTGTTGGAGCATAAAACGTAACTGCCCTAAAAAACACTTCGACGCAAAAACTATAAACGCAAATTTTTGCCAGAATTAGACTTATTATTATGACTAATCAAAAAGTTGCGTTCAGGATGTATGTTTGCACCAATTTATATAAGTAAGATACATCGGGTCATAGGCCATCACTGTGAACACATTCGTCTGTGAGAAACTTTTACTAGTCATTTTTTCTGAAATCTGGAGCTTACAGACAGAAACTAATGTCAGCTTGGAATTCAGCATGCTCAATTTATACGAAAAGCAATGTCCGTATCCATGCATCAAAAGGTTGTTACCGTTGTTGTTGGAGTGTTGGAAGTGACTGTCCTAGGAAAATATGTCAACGCAAGAGATACAGACGCTAATCCACGCCTGATTACTGCTTATCATGCATTTAGCATTGTGTTCATGTCGTGCCTAGTCAAAGTACTATGTTGTTGATATATGTGTGCATCAAGTTATAAATTTAAGATACATCGGGTCATAGATCATCACTGTGATCGCCTCCGTCGTCTTGAAGTGGGTCAGAAGAAAGGTGCATCGATACAGAACAACAGTTGGCTGAACTGTGGCAAAGATCATGAACACCAAGGAAGCATTAGGGCTACTGTCAGCTGCTTCTGTACACAGACAGTAGGATGGTGTCGATTGTGTCATGGCCTCGCCAAACTTCAGCAATCTGGCGCTTCCATTTCAGTAGACAACCATAAACATAGAGTTAGGGTCAACTTGATGACCTGTACAGATTAGGTGCCCAACGATGGAGGACGCCGGCAGTTTGTCTGCTGCTCCTAGTGCGGTTACTTGTTGTGCCACCAGCCTAGCAAACCGCTACGGAATATGCTTTCCCATCCGCTCACCCAGACAATGCTCAGTTCTGCCAAGGTAACCGCTCCCGCAGTTATAGACGAATTGGTAAATGCAAAGATGTGCTATGGAGGACAGCGGCTGAGTGGGATTGGCTATAGGGATCGGCAGTTTTCTGGTCCTCCAAATCGGACAGAGCTTGGCAACGCGAATGTATGTCGAGAGCTGTGTTCATTCGTCTTTCAAGTTGAGCCGTCACATTACCTTTGAAAAGAGGCGTGCAGTTTGGGTACAGTAAGTACCCTTGATTTATTTTCCCTCGCGTGGCTGTGAAACTTATCCATTGACCCCCAGTGTCTGTGTGATGAACGACAGTTCCGACGCCACCAATCGGAACTACATAGTCTACGGGATCGACTAAGCTGCATCTTGACAGGACAGTGCTTTGTAATGGACCGGCGTGAAACTGTTGAAGACCTCACACAGTCCAGTCTATGTGATTTCCTCGTAAACAGAGAATATTAGCTAGCCATCTTCTCGTCCGGTCAACAAAACTTCCAGAATAGGTAGACATTTGTTGTTTTCTAGTTCACATATGAAAAGGGTGTTGGAGTGTACGTTGTTGAGCACATGGAGGAGAAACTGAGCGGTCTCTACACTTGGAACAACCGCTGTATCATCAACATACCGCCTGTACAGGCATACCTGACAGTGGTAGGGTTCACAGCTCGACTCGACTATTGTCATGAAGAGGTCAGCCAATACCGGGCCAAACGGACTTCCTATGGCCACACCATTTACCTGTCGACATGCCTGATCTTCGGATAAAAGGTGCACATTTTATGTACATGATAATAGTAGATCTCTGAGATGTTCCACGGGAAGTGACAAGGCTACCATTTTATTCGTGATGAACCCGCATAAGAATGTCACCGCTTCACTTTATGGAATGTTGGTGAACAGAGATTCCATGTCCATAAAACACGAAACCTTCTCAGCAATATTCTTACTCTGCACATAGTCAAACCAAAGTGTCATTCATGGTGTACGTCTTTATCATTTGCCTAACTGGTGAAAGTATGTCAACTAGCCAACATGTCAGTTTGTGGTACAGGATGTTGCAAATGGAGCGTATCGATCTCAAAGGTGTGTTAGCCTTGTGGATCTTGGGCAAGCCATACATTTGAGGCACACATGTATTCATCAGTTTAATGGATTTGTACACCGTTTCAGTTATCATCGCATGTTGAAGCAACAATTTTAGTTAATCGGTCATCCGAAGTTCTCCATGAAAGTTCCAGTGTCTGTATAGGTTTTATATCGCGCTAGCCACTTTCGTTTGTAGAGTCGTGAACAGTTTGGAAATGCATGAACGAGAAAAGGAGAGCAAACACGGAACAACAGTATCCTCGATTGTTCTATCATTCTCAGTATCAGCAGCATCGTTGTCAATAACAGCGCAATAAAACGTCGTAAAATTGCTTGGTTATCTTACGACAATGTAACGGGAAGACTAACTGAAGTAACACCGTACTTGAAAACACGTGAAGAGGGACTTATACAACAAATAAAGGCTCACTGACAAAGCGCGCAGAGCCTACAAGCTAGGTAAATTCACAAGCAGCCGCTAATCGCGTTTGTGACTTTCACTGAGGTACGGCATTTGCAAATTTGTCCGACAGAGAACTGGACGCCAAGCACAAGTTAAATCAATGGCTTCACTTGGATACGACAAGAGGAACACCCACGGCACTCCAACGAGCTGGACTAGCAGTTGGATTACTTGTTTCACTGCGTTTTCCCTCATACATTGATCTCATCAGAACGTCGGTGAACTTTGTTGCTCTCGCTGTTGCCTGTAACCAGTCCGCCCAGTTGAGAGATTGGGGCTCTTTGGAAGCGAAAATAAATGTAGATTGTATTGTTTGACCTATTAATTTTCTCCTAGTTTACGTGCGGTTGCATTACTATAGAATTTCGTTCCTTTACCCCGTATGGGGCCCAACAAATAGAATTTTTACAGGGAAGCAGGGTATTGTTCAAATTTATAGTATGAGGATGAGTAGCATCAAAAATTGTATAAACTCGAGAGGGTAAAATCAACTTGCAATCTGCTGGGAATTCGAGACAAGTACTTTCATCGGTATCCGTTTACATGGAAAAAGCCGGATGGGATGTGGTCACAAACGAAGAGTACTCACGTAGGAACGTGCGCTTGATTCAATCGCGTGCGGCTGATTGTCCACAGCGAGTAGCATACTGGTAGGGGGGACGACGTGGATAACAAGACGGTTACCGATGGTTTTGGCGGGGATTGTGCAACGCACGTGGCCTAAGCGCCGCTGCCACACAGCGTCTAGTTTTACGTAGGGATGCAAATACTTGAAATGAGCACTTTCCAGAAGGCATGCTTGATTTAATTCCACTCCATACGCAGTCTGTGGAGGATGTAAAAACATGTATACTACAAGCACAAACAAGCACGGCTGAGGACCGGTGGTGACAGACGGCGAAAAGAAAACATATTAGTAGTATAGTGGAAGAACTCTCCCGAAAATATATCGCTATCAACTGGGTCAGCAGAAAGATCAAGAGTACTAAGACAGAGCGCTTCTACAAGAGGTGAGTGTAGATGGAATAGGCCGCAACAGCACTCTGGGATGGTAATACGAAACTTGCACTGAAGCACACGAAGGTCGTCCGGGGATGCGGAATCAAAAATTCAAGGTGCGTAGTCGAAACAAGTGTTTGCATACACATGCAGACTTTGGCTCATCTAGCTAGGATAAAAAACGTATAGGCGACGAAAATCTGCAAAACCCTAACTGAACAACTACCACCAACTGAAGGCGAACTTAGAATAACGTTAAGAATGCTTTGCATGAGGGTGTCGTACGATCAATTGCACTGTCGATGCTGCCCACTTAGGAAATCGAATGTGCCAAACCGATTGATAAGGGTCAGGTATGTTCTCAGTACATGGGTCTCTGGAGCGTACGATAAGAACCGGCAAGCATAATATATTCCCTTATTGATAGCATGGTGAGATCTGGACGCAATTCCGTCAATTCAGGAGTGTACTTTGGAACAATTAGGTCCAACTGCAGTGATCAGGTCTCAAACACCGAACTTTTCAGCTGTCGAGAGATTATCACGTGACATAGAAAGACCCAGGCTCCATGCGGGGTTCGGTTAGCATGCGCGGTAGTGATACTACAGCAATTGCAGCACATCGTGATTATGCCACATATGGAAGAAGAGTACGCTAGAAAGGCATAATAGCGGCGGTGAACCGAAGTATTGAGCATCCAAAAGACGGCCACTATGGGTAGAAGAAAAGTTTCGCACTGATACTAAGGATGCTAAGAATATACACAAGGAAAACTTCATCACTCAACCAATTGGTCAACTGCAGGGAACGTTAGTTGCATATCATAGAACACAGTTATCCTGATCTGCAATTCGTGTGCGAGAGCAGCGAGGCGGTTTGCGTATTGCTCACATGTTCTCAGACAGGTTCATGAAATCGTTAAACAACTGCAGGTGTATATAACCAATGTGAGTCTTGTTAAAAATGTAGTACACTCAATTCACATTTGGTTTATGCAACAAATTTCAAAAACAGCTTTAGAGCTCATAGCGGCCAATAATGTTTTGATGCAACGGTCGTTTCACGGTTTACCTAGTCGTCCCTCTTTGTGCCGTGTACATTTGCTCATGCAAGACCACGTGCTGAAGAGTATGCACATGTATGAAAAAATCGGAAACAATAGCTCTCAGCTGGTCATAAACACATGGGGTCCATTTGATCACTTCGTAATGCGAATAACGAGCAAAAACCGGCCCCAAGTAGTAACAGGGTTGATGCGAACACAAACACGTACCGTAAAAGGAGTGGAAGCACGATGACGAGTACCGAGGGGAGTTCGAACACCGGTGACAGATTTCTCCAGCGAGACACGAAATGCTTCGAGGTGAACTAACACGGGCCCCGGTCTTCCGGATGATAAAAGGACGTTGGTGGAAGCGTTAGGCGTTGAAGTGCAGGTAATAGGTCCGGTGAACACTTGAGACAGCTCTATTCGCTTTGTAAAGTCAATGATACGTATGATGATGTGTTAGAAGATGGAAAAGATGCCACGTGACCACAAGATGCAAAACAATAACCAGATGAGATTCACCAACGCGAAACAACACCTTACGGAGTTCATGAGATGTATAAATGGCGATAATGAGACAAAGAAATATTCTCGTCACAAGTTCAGCTGCACCGTATCTGAAAGAAAGTAATATTCGAAAGTGCGACCATTTAATCACGGTTACTCTGTGAAGTGAAAGAAAGATATCGCGACACACAAGCGAACAAGCGGATAAAGCAGCACAGGGTTGCTCTCTGTTACCGATGATGGATCACCAACCTATATCGTTTAGCAATTGACAGTGCACCTCGTATCCTGGCATGGTTTCAAACAGTTTTGGAAGTTGTCACGACAGCAAAGCGACATAATAATCATACCATAGTCGGGTGCTAATCCACGGAATAATACGCATACGTTATTGTTTAGAAAAAATGGACTTTATTCACTTCAGCCTGATCCGGATAGTTCTTGAACCGAAGCTGCGAATCTTGATCAATTGTTACCACTGTTGCTATTGCTGCATGAGTCCGCTACGGCCGCACACCAGCGACATCCACTTCATTTTCTATTCCAAGAATGCATGGGAAAAGTGTCCTTAGGACACAGCACATGACGTACGAGAGATGGTCTATTTCAGGTTACACTCAGCCCCAGCTCGCCGAGTTCTGCTACCGAGGTACTCAAGTACAGCAGACGAGTAGATGCATACAGAGCCCAGTAGGATAAAAAGTTGGATTGTTTATTGGGATGGCACATAAAAAGAGTTTCAGGTGGTGATAAGACAGACTATTCTATCATGTACTGCGGGACGCATGAATGGTAGCTACGGCAATTTCCCGATGGTTTGGTTCCCGCTTCGAAACATATTTACCTGTTGATCCGAAGTCAAAGCAAATCCATTGGTGGGGTTATTCTGAAGTACATGTAGTTAGGCACAATGTTAGGTACATGTGAGATCCAGTGCAATTGCATCTGATACGCGCCTCATGGATCAACATAGCCGAAATCTATTTCAAGTTGATGCGCTCAGCGTTTCGAATTTAATACTAATTAAGTAAGGCTATTCAATTACACTAAACATGTGACATCGGGCGTGTTCGATCGGATAGAATGCTTTTGGTATTCAGTCAGTACTTTGAAAGCTCACCTTCTATCGGTCAACTGTTGAACTGGTAAACTGATGAATATCGAGAGCGCTTTCCTTTGAGTATACACGTCAAACAAGAATTGCAACCGTCCAAAGATTAATACGGGCAAGCAAACATGTATTTTGTTTTATGTCAAATAACAAGGCAGTGCACAGTAATCTAACATCCATCGAAGGTAATAGTTGAAAGAGAATCAGGAAAGTATGGGCAGTATTTGCATCCTTTGCAGTAGGTGGTAGAATTTCCCTACTTGACAAGATTAAGTCCATTTGTGATTGCATACTTGAGTGTGATAATGTGGCACAAGCTTGTAAATAACTTCGCGTTTGAGACGACGCTTGCCATTTCTTTTCCGATTGGCAAAGAATGACAGACTCAGTATCTGTAGTGCGCACAGGGATTCTGCGTGTCAGTTCCGGAAATGAGGTGCACCCGATGGACACAAAAAACTGGATTTATGAGTTCTATTAATCCTAGCAGTTACGTAAGCAAACATAGATGTGGGTTAAAATAGCGTCAACGCCAAACCTGACTACGAAAAATGTGAACCTACTATATCGGACAGCCGAAGGCTCACGGGCAACAGATTGTCCACCATCAGCTCGATCGCCACCGGTTCTTCACACACCCAGTCGATAACTGTGGTGAGACGGTTAGGAAAGAGAAGAGGAAGTGGTATCATGTAAGGTTATCAAACACGAAGCAAGTGAACATTTATTATAGAGAATTGATGTAATAGAACAATGCGGGAGCAGTACGCTATTTGGCATTTCCCCAGGTTGCGGATTGGGGAATGCCTTCATTGTGGTGGCAACTGCGAATAAGTCTCGTCTGCTTTGCATACGAGATGAATAAACAGTCGCGGACAACCAGCGGCAGCGTCTTAGAGCGTGGGGAATTCCGGCTGGTCACCTGGTTCTATACCAAACACCACAAGAGCTCGTACGGCGCTGTGGCAACGCCAATGTGACGGGCTCACTGACCACTCACTTCTGTAACTGCAGATGAGTATTTAACGGAGGACCGATGAACAACGTTGTTAGCTACCGGCTTCTTTGTGAACTGCAACCGAACACAAAGAAGATGAATAATGCACCTGGCTGTCAAACGTATTCGTATTCGCCCCGTTGCTTTGCGGGTCACGTCTTTAAGACCAAAGGCTCAGGGTAGAGTACCTTAAATCAACCCACTTCCTCGGCCTAGGCAACCGGGCCCACACAACACATGGATATTAGCATCCCTTCCCCTGACTCACTTCCTCCTTCTTCTTGTTGTTCCTCGATTGTTGTGGCACTCTGCCAAATGTTTATTGGTCAAGTGTCAAATACATATATATATATATATATATATATATATATACATGGATAGGAAGAAAATAAGCAGAAGCTGCTTCTTCAATTCCTACCGTATGGTAAGTAGTTATTATCTTTGAACTTGATTGTGGCCCCCGCAATCAGAAACAACAATACGGAGATGGCATTTCTAGAGAACTAGGGTGCATAATCAAAACTTCGATTAAGTAGGCGGAATAAGCAAGGTACCGTTCGCTATGTTAGACATGGCCTAGCCGACATCTGTTTCCGAGACAGATAAACAGATAGAAGACATCCTTGCTGCTTGTGTTGTGTAAAGGTAAATTTCACACCCACAGAGAATGATCAGTGATGGTGCATGCAAACAAACACTCTCCGTATCCATACAAGGCTAGGTGCCGGGCCGAAAGATCTTTCTTCATCTTGGTGACTAAGCCGAGAATCTGGGATAGTCGCACTCGGCTTAACGAGGGCCTAACAAAACATTACTCACGTAAAATGGATTACTATCAGTAGTTAACAGCATATTAACCCAAAGACGTTCAGTCAACCTACGGAGAATAGCCCCCGGTAAAACAAAAAAAATGAAGCTTCACCAGCCTACCTTTAAAATTCTCTTGTGTTTTTCCGTTGAGCTCAGTTGGTGCATAGTAGAACAATCCTGGTGGACGATCGGAGTTGGTGTTGTAAACTGCAGAATCTGTGGACTGCGACAGCTGGGAGGGCACGCGTTCACCTGTTGTCGGACTGGCAGGGATATGGACAGCTGAGGCCAGTGCTTCTTTAGACAACTCACAAGGGAGCAGAAAATTAGGCAAGGGTAGCAAGTTGATGGTCCTGTTCGGATATGAGATGTAGACAAAACAAATCCCTTGACGAGGATAAACAAGAGACAGTAGAACAACTATTTAATCTTCAGCAGTTTATACCTATCATTGCATATTCCGCGTAATTAGCGCAATAGTAAATATGCTTGGGGAGTAAAACAAACAAAAAGAGGAATTCTACCGAAGAACAAACCATCTGTTGAGTGCATTTGCTTCAAGTAGTGGGAAAGATGCGTAGCTGTCATTTTGAAATATGAATACCCCTAGAAACCAACTGCCCTGGAGAGAGTCCACTTGAACCATCATCACACAACTGAGACTGCATTTAAGAGGAAGTAGAAAGGTTTCTGTACCACTATGACAAATCAAAAAACATTTAATTGCAAATCGTTAGCGGTAGTGCTTGGTCAGTTAATCGTTTATTCTTGTTCGGTTAGGAATTCGTATTGGTGTCATTATTTCCGGGTATAGGATGTATTCGTTTGCATTGCATGTGAACCGTTTCACAAAAGCACAGATTTTCGAAATAATCGTTAAAACGCGTTCTGAAACACTTCACAGAATCTGCATCTATTAGTCCTTCTGCTGGTGTATTCCGTAGGTTGTCGAATCTTTGTTCTATAAAAGCTGATGTGATGCCTTGTTCATGCATGGGATTTTGAGTTTGTAACGGTGTCCTCGGGTGTAACAGGGTTCCTGAAGATGAAATATTGGCCGCAGTATGGGGAAGTGATTCAAGTGTAGTACTCGATGGGTTATAATAAGGTTAATTCTTACACCGCGGTAGGAGAATGTGTAGAGTCCGAGCCTTTCACAACCTTTTTATACGGAAGCTTCCGTAGACTGGGTACTATTCTAGAAGCGATGTGCTGTATCTTCTCCAGATTTTTAGTTTCCCACTGGGTTGTCGGATAGTAAGCTGGAGCGCCGTATTCAAAGATTGGTCTAATGAGCGTGTTGAATAGGCCAGGGACGGCTTCTTCTGACCAAGTGGAGAAACTGCGTCGTAATGCCCAGAGCATACGGAGACCCGCACGATATAATGTCTCCGTATTTTCTAGTGATATATCATGTCGCGAGAGCACTCATAAGTCTGTTAAGTCTCGGTCTATAGTTCTCTACTTTACTCGGCTCACCACCCTTGAGAATTGGTCTCACTGTGAAACATTCCCAGCAGTTGGGGACAGGTACTTCAGAGAGTGATTTATTGAATCGATTTGTTACGGCTGGTGAGATGATATTCGATAGGGACTTAAGTATTAGTGGGTGAAGTCTGTCTGGTCCGGGGGTCTTTGCACCATGGAGGTTGTCGAGTATGTGATACATTTCGACTGCACCACATTGTAGGCTGTCAAGCAAGACTGGCGCAACCCCTGCCGGTACTGGGACAGCCACCGGTCTACTGGAAAAACACGGTGAGGTAGTGCGAAACCAGGGCGACCGCGCGCTCCGCGCTTGAAATGTGTGTCTGTCCGTACAAGTTCTCTAAGACCGGTAGGTTGCCCCCGTTTCAGTTGAAGTTTCAAGTGGGCAAATATTCTTTTGGGTGCATTTGTGGCCGTGGATTCTATCTCCTCTTCGAAATGCCCGTTTTTCTTGACCTTGGCGGTGTTACGCTGTTTCTTTTACACCGTGTACTCTTCATCACAACCCGAGCTGATGTATCTATCCCAAAGTTTGCGACGCAGTCGCGCTAACTGTCTATATTCCATAGTAAACCAATGCGGTTTGACATGTCCGATTGTTGAATACATCAGGGGAACGAATCGAGTACACAGCGAGTTAAGCTTCCCCTTCATTAATGACCAACAGGCCTCAAACGACGCATGCTGCGGTGTTGTCCAATTATTCTGACTTGTGGCTTGGACGAGCTCGTTGAAGTCCGTCTTCCAATAGTTGCATGTCGGCCCCGCTGGTTTTAATACGGTAACGGCAGTTCTATGCTTGCCACAATGGAACAGTGGTCACCGTTCGTAGATGTTAGAGCACGCCGATCTCTTCCGACAGAACATCACCGTGAGTCAGTGGTTTCTGGAGGTATCGGAAACAAGAGTATCCTGACAAGACGACTTTTTGGGTATGAGGTCGGAGTTCAGCCAAGTTTCTGCAGGTCCTAAAACGTCCGACCGCTCCGAGATAGCGAAACGGCACAGTTCGTCACGTTTGTTCATTAGGCTGCACACGTTGGGGAATGCCATACAGAGGCCCTGGGAGGTACCGCAGGACGTGCCTGTAGGTTGAGCAACCGGTTGACACGGGTTCGCACACCCTTCTTGATCGCGCGACAATTTACAACTTGTAAGTCATTCTCATCTTCTTCCATGCGGCGTTCGAGCTCAATGACCGCAGTATTCAAACGATCTTTGTCTTCGGATTCCAAGTTTCGGCGGATGTGATGCCTTTCAGCCTTGACAGATGAGACAGCATGAGCTGCGGCATAGTTTGATTTGCAAAGATGATTATCAGAGGTCGACATGGCTGGTTAATTTTCTGGCCAAGTTGGATTACTTGTTTAATCTTCACGCCGTCTTCACTCACATCCAAGAGTTTATCGGCGAGCCCCTGGAGGAACTCAACATCGTGACCATAACGTATCTGAGGAGTTTCACCTTTTGACTCTGGTACGTGGAAGACCACGGGATAATGACGCCTCACCGAAATCGGTGGTGAACCTGTGGGAGCAGAACTATAGGCTCTTATCGGTTTGGGTTGTCGTGTATCAGCAGGGGACGCCTGAACTCGATTGCGTGGCCCCTTGCGCTTTTGAGTGGTCCATGGATCCGCGGTGTCCAGAGGTTCACAGATAGCATCTGAGAAATTCACAGACCGATCAGTAAAGCGGCATTTCGTAGGTTCCGAGACTGTCTTTAATCGGTGGGGAACATTGAACCTGAGGCTCGGCCGGGGTCGAAGACGCTGGTGGTGTTGCAGATCCGGGATAGATAAGGGAAAGCAAGGTGACAGAGGTACTTTCACGAGGGCGTTTGAGCTCTCGTGGTGGGCGGTCTATTTCTGCCTGGAAGAGAGGTATTCTTATAGTCGTTGGCGGTCGCTGTGTATTCTGATGTCTTGCACCGCGATATAATTTGGAAAAACCGAGGTGGGATGTCGAGAGATTTTTGAAACACGTCAACGGATAAGCCAATGAACGAAATATGGAACAAAAGATCGCAACTGAAGCACCGAAGTGCATGAGACTTATGTCCAACAACTTTCGAACACGAACCACAAGTAGCTTGAGACGGCATCACACGGTAGAGCAAATTCAAGATGGCGGTTGGACCAATCAATGAGATCACCGGAATTAGCCAAAAATATCCACCAAATTTGTACCGATTGTAAAATACACCAAAAAAGAATACTGGTACACAATGCACACAAAAAAGCAATTAACACAGTAATCCGAAACAAAAGTAGTATCCAGCACATGGTGATTTAAAAATTCGCGGCGTCCATGGGTACAGCCAAGATGCTCGTAATTTGTATCCAACACATTGCATCGGGTGTTATAACAAGCAACACGTAAATATTATTTGTAAGTGACTCACTGCACCGAAGGTAGCCCGTGAGTCGGAACCTCTAACAGGTCCACAAGTTGTCTCAAGATACCGGAACTTCGCTTCAATAAAGAACCATTTGCCAACCCCCCTTGGATTTTGTGATGACGACACTGAGAATCGGCATTACCAGAAATATCGGAGGTGAAGAATGAAGCAGACGGATCTGCAATACGTGGTTGATCTGGGCTGCGCATGACCGCCAGTCGACGAAGGTCGTCCAAACATGCTTCAGTTCTGATCTCATCTAAGTAGTCTGGCCAACAGTCGAGGAGACTGAAGATAAAACTGGCAGAATGACATCGACAAAGAAAAAAGTGAGGTTAGGATAATTAGCCTGTTTGGACAAATTAAGAATGATTGGTGTCATTTCTAACGGTAGAAGCCTGCGTTCTGTTGTACTGTTTAACAAATGTGGCCTAGGCATCAAAGCAAGCAGTGCGGACTAGCGCCTTCATAAAGACAATAATAATTTATAAAAACAAAGTCGACTGAAAGCGGCAGAATTGAACATGGCATTTCAAGAGTATGGACAGGGAGGTAAGCGCAATGGAAGAGAAAATCAACCAGCAAATACAGTGAACCGTCGGAACGTGAGTACGCGGTCCATATTGAACCATCCGAATACTGTCATGACGCTATGTGATTGGAGACGGTAGAAAAAACTCCTGTTTAACATAAGGGAAAACGTTACTTCCGTATTACTTGGGTAACACATTATATGCTGGACAAAAGCCGCACATAAGCGGTGTGGTATTCTGCGGCAAACTGAGAGAGTACCAATGATAACAGCGGAATGACCGTGAAGGCCATCACAGAATGTAATTGTGGACACTTTCATGCACATCTGCAAAGTGCAATGAAAGCTCAAAAATCAGAAGAACCCTGAGTTGAGCAACTGAACACATCGTTTCGCAGAATGATGCGGTCAATTCCCATCAAATAATTCTACAAAGGCAACAAACATTTGACAATGCCTATGGGAATTGGTTTAGAACGCTGGAGCAACATATAGAAGTAGGATTTTCAAATGCAATTAGGCAAAAGCAGGTGTCATAAATGAATATGGAAAAAGCACAGCATGGTAACCGTGTACAAGTTCCGAATAACCAACTCGAACCAGATATTTCATAATTTCGTGATATATGCTTTCAGCGAGGATTTGTGGTCTACCAAATGTGTACAAGCTTGTTGCTCCTATCTGGCGTTTAGTTAATGAAACAAATCCCTTGATAACCGAACTTGCAAGTTATTCAGTGTATACAGTGAAATTCTTGGTAAATGTGGATTGTAAAGATAGACTAGAATTGTAAATGGGTGTTAGCAATTGTCTCGGTAACGGTATGCTTCAATGTAGTGATAGTGAAGACCTAAACTGGAAACGACAACCTAGGTTAGGTAATGTCGTCCTAGGCTTAACAGTGTGCATACACTTCGGCCTATCTTATTGCTATATCGACAAACGGACTGAAGAACGATTGGATCATCGTGAAGGATAATTTGTACATAACAGCGCTACGGTAAACTCCGTATATTTTGGGATAAAACTAAGAGATGAGGATAAGAACTGGGCGCCGCAAATTGGTTGTGTGCCGTGCAATCTTCAGCTGACTAAGTGGCTTAAGGGCAAAGACAAGATGCCATTTGCAATCACCATGGTGTGGAGGGAGTTGAAGGACCACACGACAGACTGCTACTACTGCCTAACCAGTGTCATTGAAATCTCCAACCGAAACAAGGACAAAATTCATCACCCCGATCTCCTATCAGCTATCCGACCAGTTCCTCATGACTGCACCTTACCCATTTCAGTGTCTCCAGTGAAGAGGTCACTAATGATGAGTAGTGATTCCGAATCGTCAACTTTCCCCGATTCTTACGTTTGTGAAAAGTTTGAAGCCGATGTTGTCAACTTAATCCTTATTGAACAATCGGAGCTGAATGACTTGGTACGTGATCTGGGCTTGCCTAAAGACCAGGCCGAGTTGCCGACATCCCGGCTGCAGCAGTGGTGTATATTTGCTGCAAACATTAAGGTTACTGTGACACGAGAGCAACCTTCTGTTACCGTTCCGAGGTAAAAGGACAGACGAAGGAGCATGGCGTGAGGCATATCAGTGATGAATGGCGTTTGTTCATTGACTCGTCTTAAGGCCATACTGCTCCACAATGAAAATGTGTACTTAATTGTGCCGCAGTTGCAGGCCACCAATATGAAGCAGACTTACGAAAGTATGCAACAGATACTCGCTGCACTGTACTACGATAAGTACTGTTGGATGATGTGTACTGACTTCAAAGTCATTGGACTCCTAATTGGTATGCAATGAGGTTTCACAAAGTATTGCTGTTTCTTGCACTTATTGGACAGCACTAACAACTAAACCGTGGCCAGAGAGGACGGAGTATGCTGCAGGGAAAATGAGTGTAAAGCATAAACCACTTGTGCAAGCTGATCATATTTATCTACCACCTCTGCACATCAAGCATGGTTTGATTAAAAACTTCGGCAAAGCCTTCAAGGGAGATGGTTTTGCATTCCAGCACCTGAAACAAGTGTTTTCGAAGATCAGTGTTGCGAAGCTCAAAGAAGGGATACTTATGGTGTCTGGTATTCATCGGATAATGGCAGACAGTGCTTTCGAATGCCGGTTGACTTCATTTGTGTTAGATGTGTGCCGATCATTCAAGGCAATGTGTATAGGATTTTTGGGCAGAACAAAGGAAGTGAATTACAAAGACATGACAAAAGCTAATTGCGAACTATCAGGTTGTTGGTGCTCGAGTCTCACTCAAGAGGCACCTTTCGCATATTTACCTTGACTTTCTCCCTGAGAACTTAGGATCTATTGGCGATGAGCATGGTGAGCGCTTTCAGCAAGACATTTCAGTCATGGAGCAGTGATACAGTGGCAAGAACCCGCGTTCCCTGATGGGTGAACTATTGCAGGTTCCTGCTGCGTTTTGGCGCTGAATCATACAAGCGACGATCTCGGCGAAGTTCTTATTTCTCACTGACAAGCTGCAGTCAGTAGTTAGCAGCGAGTGTTGCAGTGATGTTTTAAATGTATTTGTCCCATAGATGCATCCTGCATATGTGGTGATTCAGTACACTGACATATAATACGTACAACGTAGTCTTGACATTATTGAAAATAATAATTTACTTATACCAACGTAAGCTGACGTGTTAGGTAACATCGGAAAACATTTTTACAAGCAGTGGAGTGTATGGGCGTTTCTGTCATAGAAAATAAAAACTTTTTTGCCCCAAAGCTACGATCGGCCTTGGGGTACTTACTAAATCGGTACTATCTGGGGAACACTAAACGAAAAGAGAAAGATTGCCTGTTTACCGTACTATCACGTGCTGAGCCGAGCTTAGTGCTCAACATCACTAGGCAATGGAATATTGCTCTCACAGATAAACAGAGAAATTGTACATGTTTGATTGAACCTAAAGTAGGCCCACGACATGGCGTTGGATGTGCGAACTGAGCAATGCAAAATTGGCGTTTCAAAGTCCTTGCACACCCTTGGCTCTAAACCAAGGTATTTGCAACGCCAGACTGTTGTTATCTTGAAGTTATAAAGACGCACGTGACACCGCTTTAGCAAACGTATCAAACAACATCACGACGACACACTAAAATGCGAGTGCTCATTGGACAGGATAGCATCATGTTATGGGCTTTAAACTAAATTTGGTCGTCTGCTATCCCTTCCTGCACAGCATCTGTTGAACGATGCTGAGACCAACTTGCTTGCACTCCCGAAGTTCACATAGCTCAACTGACGCAACGGACACTTGGAAAAAACATGAAAACTTGATTGAAGGATGGAAGTAGGCGTACCCGGTTAAGCGCAACGCCATCTCCCAGGAAATATCGGTAACATCATCAAACCTGAGATCGGCCTTTAGACGTTGTATCATGATCCAGACAGCTGATGCTTGGAGAGACGCCCATCCAGTGTGACGATAGGTAAGACGCTCTGGCAACATCCTGTGACTTTTTGTCCACCATCTCTTAGCGGAACGGTTCGGTTTGAAAAAGGTGTGAGCCAGTGTTCCGCTCCTCACCCCACCGGACGAACCGCGAAACCAAAGGGAAGTTTCCGGAACAGTCAGGGGAATTAAGTTTGCCGGAGTTCCAGGGCATCGAAGGAACAGTCGCCTTGCCGCATCTTCAGTTGAATGCGATTCAGTGTAATGGACCCAAAGGATTGAATCGAACGCATTTGACGGGGTAAACTGGATGGCGAGTCCTGAAAACAGTGCGTCAAAGTTTTCTTCACCTGGAAGTCGCAGATTTTGCACAAACGCTTGCCATGCTACGAAACCAGCGCGCCTCCGGTAACCCAAGTCGCGATATAGGTCGACTATAGTGGTTAGCCTTTTCGTTATGTTCATGACCTGAAAATGGATGAAGAAAGGTTTGTCAACTAAAATCGAAACAATACGTTGACATATTGGCCTGATAAAGGAAGACATTAACTGGGGCATGGGTTGACATTGTTTAACTCAGAGCCACGGACAAACTCGAGCTTGAGAATCGTTACCCGATTGGGCCTGTTAGCGAAGTCATCCGTGCAAAGAAAGAAATCGTCTGTTTTGCCCTACAGCACTACAGTATTGTTATACAAAGATGCCATAAAGACAGGAAAAGAAATATTTGCAAAATTTTTTTGTTAGTTAAGCTCTAGTGAACAATTATAGCCGCCACAGTAGGACGCAATCAAACGCTGAAACAAAGGCAGCGTTGCTAATAACATAGGGAGCCATTATAATCCAGACATCATTCCTCCGGTAACCGTGGATAAATTGTTAGCATACTCACTTGGCGGATACACCGGCGCAATGAAAATATTTTTTGGGGAATTTCGGCATCATTCAGTATCATTTCTGCTTCCGCAATCTCTGGGTCATAATTTGCGTGGTATGTTTTTGCAGATTTCGTAGTTCCGTCATGTAAACTTTGACTTACCATTTTACGTCACATTCGCGCCATTTTTCCAAAACGAAGAAGAAATCACCGTGTGGTTCCTGTTCGGAAATTGTTGGCCACACGGCAGACGTCCTTACATGCTCTGATTGCTGTGCTAGACTTCATATTTAGTCTAGAGGATTAACTGACGATTGCTATCGTCGACTGCATTCCATACAACATGATTTCATCCAAATGTTGTTCAACGACTGTCGTAGTAAAGGCGGCCAGAGAAACGTATAACGTCCACTGATGCAGACGGCGGCCAAAATCGTTTGACAGCAAGTTGTTTCAGAGGTATTGTCACGCAAACTGAAGCTCAATCTACCATTCCTCTTACAATTCGTTACCTCGTCATCCTAATTTTTCCGGAAGCGCGATACTAACTGAAACTAATTATCCATTGACTCTCCACCTTACTGGCTCTAATGATCTAGATGAATGTTCAGCGGCCGAGCAGCCATGGAAAACTCAACAACAAAATAATCAATGAAGCGAAAAGAAGTTTCACGCTACTGATCAACAACAAGCCAGATCAATCGAAATTTCATGCTACCCTCCTACTTCAAGAAACGCTTCCAATAATAGATGTTCAAATCAGATGCCTCCCCATGCGTCTAAGTTCACCAATTCAAATTCTCAGACACGGTATAATCACGCCGTTGAGGTTTTACAGAGTTTGTTTGATAGGCACTTCGACGCGAGTGAGGACGGAGTGAAAGTGCGGAAAAGTCTTCCGCCTCGGCGGAAACGTTGCTGAGATGGACCGACCTATAAGGGTAACTTTTGTCGGGGAGACAAGCTAGCAGCTAATACTGTCTCCGATGAGGGGTGGTTGCGACTGGCAACCAATTAAGGTCACCCCATTGTTTAGCCGGACAACTGCTTCAAGTCCACAGATATCATGCATCCATTTGGCACTGGCGACACGTTCAAACACGAAAAAAGTGCAGGAAAACATATAAAAATACCATAAAAACAGCTACACACCCAAACATGGTTGGATGCATCCGGTTTCGGATTTGCCTGTCACGGTGAACTGCCACAGGACGCCTGCGCCTACACAGCGACCACTGGAGGCTTGCGTTGCACAACACAGCTGCAACCACATACCCCATATCCATACAATTTTACACGCATATTAGCGTATTGTACCAAGCTTTTAGCGTGGTTCATTTTCGAAATAGCGTGCGGTACTTTCAAGTTAGCGAGGCTGAGAACGCTGATTTGGCGTCCTTGACACTCTCATTGGTTATGGGACGTAAACCAATGGGACACCGGTTAGATTATAGGGTAGCCTATTTAAAAGAAATAAACACTGTTAATCTTCGAGCCTTCTCAGTGGGTCTTCTGTTTTTCGGTTCACCTCATTCGTCGCGTTCCCCTTTTATTTCATTGGTTATGCTATTCCTCTTCGGTCGCTGTCTTCCTGTCTCGCGCAATGATCACATCTTTCGTGCTTGGCATCTGATTGGCCGTATTTCTTTGGACCGCTCATATTCGGCTTTGCACTCTGAAACTTGCCGTTAATAGCGATTCTCGAGTTGCCAGTGCGCCCTCTATGTTCTATTGTCCAATCCGGTTTGTCGGTTTCTGGATACGTGTGCCACTCGTGATTCGCTGTCCAGCCATCGCTGTGTCTCCCGGTGGGTTCACGCGTTCTCCTCGATCGAACTGATCTGCTGACTCCGGTAACCTGCGCTTAGGTGGTAAGGTCGAGCATACTGGACCGGTTTCCTAAACCCCGTTACATCCTTTTCCTTTTGTTTTGTTAGGATTGCGCCGCAGTATGTCCCATACTGCTTTCCGCTGCGTGTGAGTTTCCTTCCTTCTGCAGGGGTGACGCGTATCTGTCTTGGCTGCTGTTGTCCGTTTTCCATCTGGGTAACACGCGTACAACCTGCTTTCCGGACCTGTACTCGGTTCCGCTTAATTGTAGTGTCCCCAACCTTCACTTCATAGCTTCTCTCTCCCTTGCGGCTCTGAATAACTCCCTTCCTCCAGTGTCCCTCTGATCCTGGTACTGGTTGCACCCACACTTCTTCTCCCAATGCTAGAGGTTGGAGTTTTCTCGCCCCGCGATCGTAGTATCTCTTTTGCCTAAGCATTCTGTTTCGTAACCGCTCGTGTATCGAGGTCGTTGGTGATACTTCAGGTGTTAGCAGATTTGACGCAGTTGGTATCAACGTTCTTGTCCTCCGGCTGAAGAGTCGCTGCACCGGACTTGCCCCAATTTCTGTTGATGGCGTGTTTCTGCGTTCCAGCAACATAATATAAGGGTCCTCCTGAGTCTCCTTAGCTTTGGTAAGCACCTTCTTTGCTTCTTTTACCGCCGACTCGGCCTTTCCATTTGATTGGCTGTGATATGGGCTAGTAAGCCGGTGATGGAAATCCCACTTTCTGCTGAACTCTCGGAACTCTGCGCTAACGAACTGCGGCCCGTTGTCCGAGACTACTACCTCCGGTATTCCGTGACGAGCAAATTGACATCGTAGCTTATTCACCACTGCGTCTGTACTGGTCGTAGCTAGAGCATCGATTTCAAAGTAGTCACTGAAATAATCAACCAACACTAAGTAACTTTTTCCATCGTGGATGAAGATGTCTACTGCAACCATCTGCCAGGGCCTGTCCGGAACGTCACGGAGCATCATCGGTTCTTTTGACTGACGTACGTCGTGTGTTCGGCATGCCAGACAATTTGAGACGTAATCTCGTATTTGGCTGGTCATTCCCGGCCAAAACATTAGCTCTCGCGCTCTGGCCACACAATTGTTGACTCCCAAATGTGCATAGTGGACAAGCTCTGTCATCGCGCGCTGCAACGCTTTGGGGATTAGTATCCTATTGCCTTTGAATATCAACCCGTCTTGGACAATGAGTTCATCACGAAAATGGAAAAACGGGGTCAGCACTCCTGGTAGATCTTTCTTGTTCTTGGGCCAGCCACTTAGTATTGTCTGCCTCAGTAGCTTGCATAACTCATCTTCCTCTGTGCACTGCTGGAGCTGTTTCAATCGTTCCTCGGTAACAGCTACTAGTTGTGCTGCATGAACGAAATCTGAATCTTCGTCTTCCTCTGGTGTGTCTGACAGATATGCCCTGGATAACGTGTCTGCGATATGCATTTCGGGACCAGGTCGATACACAATCTCTAGGTCGTACTTTTGAAGGCGAATAAGCATTCTCTGTAAGCGGCGGGGAACAACATGTAGCGGCTTGTTGGCGATGGAAACCAACGGTTTGTGATCTGTAAACACTGTAGTCTTCCGGCCAAATGTATAGTCATTAAAACGTTCGACGGCGTAAACAACTGCAAGCATCTCTTTTTCTATCTGGGCGTAACGACGCTCGGTCTCTGTCAACGTCCTACTGCGAAAATCGATGGGTTTCCCATTCTGCATGAGTACGGCCCCGATACCAAATTGACTGCTGTCGCATTGAATCTCGAGAGAGAGTTGCGGATTATAGTAGGCGAGAACAGGTGCGTTAGTGATGAGTTCCTTGATTGCCTGGAAGGCCTCTTCTTGTTCTGCACCCCAGTGCCAGCTTTCGCCCTTATGAGTCAACTTCCTGATCGGTGTCATAACATCAGCTAACTTGGGCAGGAACCGGCTCAGATAATTGATCATCCCATTTAGCCTGCCAACCGCTTTCACATCTGTGGGGGACGGCATATCTCTTATAGCTCTTACTTTCTCAGGGTCTGGTTTTAGCCCTTCCGCGCTTAACACATGCCCATGAAATATAACCTCTGTACTGCGTAGTTCGATCTTTTCACGTTTCAGTTTGATGTTTCTTTCAACACAACGTTGTAAAAAGCTACGAAGGTTCTGATCGTGCTCTTCACGAGTAGCGCCAAAAACCAACACATCGTCCGCTACGCAGAATACTCCCTGTAGATCGTCCAACGCTTGCATTAGTCGCTTCTGGAAGATTTCGCTAGACACTTTCAGTCCAAACGGTAAACGAAGCCAACGGTACCGCCCGAATGGTGTTCCGAAAGTTGTCATGTAGCTTGACTCATCATCTAGTGATACGTGCCAGAACGCAGAGGCGAGGTCGACTTTCGTGAACACTTTAGAATTGCATAACACCGGCAGCATGTCGTCTAGTGTCGGTAACGTAAAATACTCTCTTTTGAGTGCGGCATTAAGCGGTTTCGGATCAATGCATATACGCAGCTCGCCTGACTTTTTTGTAATAATCGCCACCTGGCTGACCCAATCAGTCGGTTCGTCAACTTTAGCTATCACTCCCAGACTACAGAGACGTTGCAACTCACTCAAGAATTTTTCGCGCAAAGCAATTGGCACCTTCCTAGCTGGTAACGCCACCGGTGTTGCTAGCTCGTTTAACGATAAGTGAGCGGGTCCCTCGAACATCCCTACTCCGCCATCAAACACACTCGAGTACTTATCAAAAATAT